GTGGGCCCCTGCCAGCAACTCCTCTAGTGTGGTGTACTGCCTCTAGCCCCGTCCCAGCAGGACTGCTGTACATAGCAAGGAGAGCCTACGTGTAAGGTATGGGGACACCAAAGGAGCTGCCAGCATGGGAACACTCAGCAGCCCCACATTCTGTTACTTCTGTGTCTTTACGGTAAGCTGTACCAGCTAGAAATACCTTGCTGGGCCCCTGCCAGCAACTCCTCTAGTGTGGTGTACTGCCTCTAGCCCCGTCCCAGCAGGACTGCTGTACATAGCAAGGAGAGCCTACGTGTAAGGTATGGGGACACCAAAGGAGCTGCCAGCATGGGAACACTCAGCAGCCCCACATTCTGTTACTTCTGTGTCTTTACGGTAAGCTGTACCAGCTAGAAATACCTTGCTGGTATGGCGTACCCAGCCATTCTACCCTTCTTGCACTGCTGATACGGGTAAGGGATCCCCTACTGCCAGTTAAATCCTTTCCTGTCCATTAACACAGCTTTAAAGTCCTTTTAAATGCTGAAGTGGCACAAAGGTGTCTATGATGGAGTCAAGGATCAAGTCCCATGACAAAAACATTTTAACTTCGTAGGTGGAAGTTTCTGAAAGTTAAGAGACCCTGAAAAGTCAGGGTCTTATAAAGGAAACCTTAATATTCCTCTATAATATTCTCTCTCTCTCTCTCCCTCTCTCTCTCACACACACATACACACACCCCACAATTCACAGCTGAAATGCACTCATCACAGGGATGGACCACAACAGATGTTTAATGGACATAGCAATACTATGCAACAATTGAGAATAAGGAGTGAGGAAACCATTTGAAATTACAAGGAGAAGTTAAATAAATGGAATATCAATTCCTTGAATTGGAATTTGGAATTTGACTAGAACATCAGAGTCAACGCTCTTAGAAAAGACCAGAAGAAATCTTTTGTCCAGGACTAAAATTTTAAGTCTCAGCCTAAAAATAGAACCTCCAGCTTATATGTTTAACATTACACTGGGCCACTCACTCATCACCAGCTCCAGGGGAATGTTAACAAGGAGTGATTGAGTAGATGACCAACAGCATTTTTTCTGCCTGTCGTCAATATGGCCAATGAAATATTCAGTGTTATAATATATTTATACTAAACTAAATTACAAAAAGAGAAACACCTAACAGTTGCATAATAAAATAGATCATTATTTACCTCAACAGAAAATACTGTGTTATATTTTCTACGGGAGTAAACTTAAATCAATAGAATTGTGCCAATTTTGATTAGCAGAGAATTTGGTTCACTAGAAAAAACAAGTGGACAGACAAAATAGGTATATTATACAATTCAATTATAAAATCTCTAAGCAGGTATAAAGAAATCTGAATAAGTACCATACAGCAAGCACCATTAACAACAACTTTATCACAAAGGGACAATGTATTTTAAGTGAAATTAATTTATTAATGTCTGACTACTGATAACATCATAATAGAATTTGTGAAAGCCTTCTTGATCAAATTGCTAGCTTTGCACACTCAGAAGCTGACTTCATAGCAATCTACCACTTACCATCTACCCATCTCATCACTGGTCATCCCCTAGTAGGAGGACCTACCACCATCCCCATCACAATAATTTTCTCAAGGTTATTTCCATTGCTGTGCCTGAGCTGCAAAGTACATACATTTGCACCAGTTGATTTCTGGGTCTGCTTCTCTCCAAAACTGCTCCAAACATGTGCAATCATCTTCTTTTCCAGGCAGGAGATACCTAAGATTCTTTGT